CCTCTCTCCCTATTTATTTCAGAATCCCCTTCCCCTCCCCCATTTCTGAAGAAGGGTCCAGGCCCGAGTCCTGCTGCTCTGACGCTGCTTGGCCTGCTGTGTTCATCCAGCTCTACACCTTGTTATCTCAACTCAGGAGAAAATGGGTTTCCCACTTTACAACCATTATTGTTTTCAGTTATTCAGTCAACAGCTTGAAGAGGTTGTGCGGAGAAGCAGTCTGTGGCAATTGTAGTGGGGCAGCAGGACAGAAGAATGACTCCAACCTGAAAACTTCACCTCAGAGCTAGTAGGAGAATCAAGAGAGATGTGTGGGGTAGTAAGAGAGTGAAGACTAGTCACTCTTAGCAAATACAGAGACCTTTGAGAAGAAGGTTCTGTAGGGGCTATCCCAATTTGAGGTCTGTCTGGCAAGCAACTATTTCGGAACTCTGTGCATAAAGTTTCGGCAAAGAGAGGAAACTTTAAACGAACAGTGCAACGACCAACCTGGAAAGGAAAGAAGCAAAGAAGGAGCACTTCCAGGTGATCATGAACCTTACTGCTATAATTTAAACTCCTAGGCTGATTATGCGGGAAGATTCATTGAAGTCACAGATATAGAAAAATCAGGAACAGGGATCTGCATTATGTATTAGGCCAAGGAGGGTGGGAATGAGCCAATTAAAAGCATAGAAGCATAGAAAATAGGTGTAGGAATAGGCCATTCAGCCCTTCCAGCCTGCTCTGTCATTCTGACTTATTACCTTCTTCCTACTTTCTCCCCACACCTTTAGATCCCTTTAGCTCTAAGAACTGTATCTAACTCCTTCTTGAAAGCATTCAGTATTTGGCCTCAACTACTTTCTCAACCATTCCACAGGATCACCACTCTATGGGTGAAGAAATTTCTCCTGTTCTCAGTTCTAAATAGCCTAGCCTGTATCCTTAGACTGTAATCCCTGGTCCTGGACTCCCCACTCATCAGGAACATCCTTCCTATATTTACCCTGTACAGTCCTGTTAGAACTTTATAGGTTTTTATTGTGCCCTTGAAAAAGTAAGAAAACTCCATCTGGACTGCATTAGGCAGAAAAATCTCCAGTAAGCAGGACAGAGATACAGTATTGCCATTTAACAGAACTTAAAAGCTTAAAAGAAGTAAAAGATGACAATATTGTCATAATACAGAATTTTAAGCTTGATTAGAAAAAAATAGTGTGTTATAATGTAAAGTTTAAAAGCCTGAAGACATTTTAAACAAGAGAATGAAAAAATATTTGACATACTGAAAGATTAAGAGCTTAAAATCCAATAGATTACTAACAACTTTGAAATGCTACAAATTTAAAACAGCTTTAAAGCAATGGTAATTACTGACCATATTTAGATAAAATGTCAGGAAAAATGATTGTGCCACAAAGATTTCATGTTGGAGAGGAGCCAAAAAGAACACATGATTGGACATCCTGGAAAGAACAGTTCTAAAGATACAGAATTTCTTCAAGATTAATTATTCAATGTCTAGTAAAACAGATAAACACAATATTGTATATAATAGATCTTTTGACTGGTGACATTATTAATCACTAAATATAACAAAATTACTGGTGTTTTTGAAGATGTTCTAACAGCTTTTGATAATTACTTTAATCTTAGAACAAATAGATTTCCAAAAGGGTGAGAGTTAACAGAAGAGATCAGCATTCTGAAGAATCTGTAAATAATTTCATTAATAACCTGTATAGATTAGATGTGAGCTGTGATTGTGGAACTCATGACAGGCCAAATTATTGTTGGAATTATTAATGAGTTTTTGCCAGATTTAATATAGCCCAAGAAAAATTTGATTCTGAAGAAATATATTTAAACCAGGTGGGATGATGGCTCAATGATTAGCACTGCAGCCTCACAGCAACAGGGACCTGGGTTCGAATGCATCCTTGGGTGACTATCTGCGTGGAGTTGGTATGTTTTCCCTGTTTCTATGTGGGCTTCATCTGGGTGCTCCAGTTTCCTCCCACAGTCCAAAGATATGCAGGTTAGGTGGATTGGCCGTGCTAAATTGCCCCATAATATCCAGGGATATGTAGGTTAGCCATGGTAAAAGTGGTGATTGTGTGGGATATTCTTCAGAGAGTCAGTGCAGTCTCAAAGGCACAAATGGCTTCTTTCTGCGCTATAGGAATTCTTGTTCTTATGATTTATGACAATCTGACAGATTTTTTCACCCTTAACGATACCAGTTTTTCTTTCTCCGGTTTTTAAAACTGGATTCAAAATGATGGTTTCTCATACTGCCTGACCTATTTGCCTGGGCCCCTTCAGCAGATCAGTAACATAACTGCTACATCTCAACAGTATGACAAAGTACTGCAATCAGAAGAGAAGAACCAACTTTGAGGTTAGTTAAGATCTACTACAAAGTCCTCATAGAAGAAATAGCTGAGGTGCTGCCCAAACCATATGTGATACCTTTTTGAGGTGTTATGACTGTAGTTTCTCCTTGTATATTCACCCAGCCTATCTTTGGATCTTATTTATTTTCTCTCCTGGAGCTGACCATCAATGTTATGGCTCTGCTGGCTGTCTCTCTGTTTGATATTATATTCCACTGACCTAGTTTCTCATTCCCTGACCTGATGTATATTCTTTCACTGCCGAGCCTGCATTTTTGAAATTTTTATTCATTTTTCAATGGAATAAGCGACCACACAACGTTCCACCCAACAGGCATTCAATGTTCCGCAAATCCTGGGATCAAGTTCAGTTGACTGGCATTTGAGGCTAAGTGATAATAATTTGAGGTGACATAGAGTTTTGCTAAACTGGATCAATCATCAAAGAGTTAGCCTATTGATTCATGCCACAACTACAAATCAACCTCCCAAACTGGAACAAGCTGGGAGCCTTGGAATCTTTGTATATGGTGCAGAAAAGGCTACGACAGGTAGTGCATCTGTTTACATCCTATTTGAGTGTGTGTGTGTGTGTGTGTTTGTATGTGTGTATGTCTGTGTGTGCGTGTGTGTATGTGTGTGTGTACATGAGTGTGTGTGTATGTGTGTGTGTGTATACATCTGTGTGTCTGTGTGTGCGTGTGTCTATGTGTGTGCGTGTGTGTGTGTGTGTGTGCGTGCGTGTGTGTGTGTGTCTGTGTCTGTGTGTGTGTGTATACGTCTGTGTGTCTGTGCGTGTGTGTCTATGTGTGTGCGTGTGTGTATGTGCACATGCATGCGCGCGCGCATGCGCGCGAGCGTGTGTGTGTGAGGATGGGACCAGCCTTATTAGGTTAGCTCAGTTGACTGCACAGCTGGTTTCTGGTGTACAATGACACTAACAGTATGGTGGCCCTCAGGTTAAACTCACCACCAGTCGCCTCTCTGGAACAAGAGAGCAGACCTCTGGGGCTATGGTGACTTTACCTATGGCCCTATTAACCAAAATTTGCTTGTGTATCTGTACCCTGAGAGTAAGTGTGTCCTAATGTCCTTGTGAGTGTCTGCTACTGCTATTGGAGCTAGGTTGTAGGCCAGCCATGTGGAAATGACCAGTATATACCCTGTAAAATTCAAACCTAGGTCACGGGATTGGTTTGTAGAAAGACACCAATGCCATCCCAAATTTGCACAGCTCGATCACCGCAACATCTGGCTGCCTCAAATTATTGCTAATTTCAGAATGAAATCATCCTTCCTGGCAAATTTTTCTATTTATCATCTTCCAAAGTGTGTGCTCCTCTAACACTGTATGTCTGTACTAACATAACCATAACATATTAGCTGCACTTCCAGCAGCCACACCCTTAGCTCCAATGTGGAGCAGATTGTAAGTTCAAATCCTACTCCAGTGACATGAGCACCAAATGAGGATAGTCCTCCAGTGTAGCACTCAGGGAGGGTCAAACTGCAGAAGGTGCTATGCTTTGGGTGAGACATTAAACCAAGCTCCCGTTCCCTGTAAAAATGTCAATGGCATTTATTTGAAGAATTTGGGGGGGCATAGCCTCAAAACAATGCAGAGCAGATTCAGGACTGAGTTAAGGAGGAATTTCTTCAACCAAAGGGTTGTGAATCTGTGGAATTCCCTGCCCAGTGAAGCAGTTGAGCCTACCTCATTGAATGTTTTTAAGGCAAAGATAGATAGATTTTTGAAGAATAAAGGTATTAAAAGTTATGGTGAGCGGGTGGGTAGGTGGAACTGAGTCCACGAAAAGATCAGCCATGATCTGATTGAAGGGCGGAGCAGGCTCAGATGGCCTACTCCTGCTCTTATTTTTTATGTTCTTACGTTCTAAGGTTGGTGAAAACTCTTCAGGGTCATCTCCCAACATTCATCCTCCAGCCAACATCATTAAAACAATAGAGTATCTGTTAATCACCACCTCACTGTTTGCAGAAGTGTACAGTATGCAAATTGACTTCTCTATTTCCTACATTATAACAGGGACAAATGTCCACTCCCTCCACCACCGACGCTCAGTAGCAGCAGTGTGTACTATCTACAAGATGCACTGCAGAAATTCACCAAAGATCCTCAGCCAGCACCTTCCAAACCCTCGACCACTTCCACCTCATAGGACAAGGGCAGCAGATAATGGGAACACCACCCCCTGCAAGTTCCCCTCCAACCCACTCATCGTCCCAACTTGACAATATGTCGTCGATCTTTCACTGTCATTGGGTCAACATCCTGGAATTTTCTCTGTAAAGGCATTGTGGGTCAACCTACAGCAAATACACTTACGGGTGGTTCAAGAAGGCAGCTCACCGCCCCCTTCTCCAGGGCAACTAGGGACGGGCAATAAATGCTGGGCCCAGCCAGTGACACCCACGACCTGTGTGGGAATGAAGAAAATACAATAATTCATTGGATGTCTTTGGGACACCTGTTGTTGTGGAAAGTGCTATATAAATGCAATGGTTTTGTTTTCTTGATGAGGTAGCCGAGGTATTGACCAATGCCTCCATTACCCCTGTATATGAAAAGCACCCTCATAACCATGGTTTGCTTTGTCGTAGGTCTGTGCAGCTGAATGGACGGCCGCTACTAATGGTAGACGATGAAACATTTCCCGAACTAAAACCGCGAACTCTCCGAGCTGGAAGAATTGTGGTAATTCCCCCTCTCTCCATTGGATTCTATGTGGTGAAGAATGCCAACGCCCCGTCTTGCAAATTCCGATAGCCAGGATGCCCAGATGCCTGGTCTTGAACATTAATGTAAAACAAAAACAGCTGACCATTTCCGTTCCTGTCTGAAACCCCTCTGAAAACAGGGCCTCAAGGCTCCCAGAAAGCTCAAAATGTGATGTCCCGTCTTACACACCTCCTCCCCACACAGCGGCAGCCCCCCTTCCTCCCCTTCCATGATCCCGATCTTGCTTGACACATTGTTATCTGCTTCAGGTAGCAGCTCAGAGGCTACAGCAATTGTAATCGTCTTCAATGAATGACCTTTCCTTTAAAAAAACAGCACCATCATCCCAGCATGTTTACTGCTCAGACAACACGTGAAAACTGAACTGCATTATACAATGCCTCAGGCACCTTCTGTACAGAAGAGTTATTTTTCTAGTCAGATAACACAAATCAGACTCAAATATCCCTGGTAACCTCTTCAAAACATCCAATTAGTCACTTTTCTATTGTCCGTCTGGTCTGTGTAAACGGAAGAAAATGTGTTTCCACGTTTGCAAACTAACTTATCACCAGCTTCCCTGATGTTTCAACGTAGCATTTCCTCTGTGCATAACTGAGTAACCCATGCCTGGAGCAACTGCTACTGGGCAGTTGCTCTGACTGGTCGCAGGGACCCTTAGGTTGGGAGGTGTAAGGTTAGAAGTGAGAGCAATGTTGAGCAAATCACCTACACTACTGTGCCCAACTCCATTTGACCACTTCTGGAAAGGTATATGCATTAATGAAGCCTGATTCGGGGCATGGCCATGCTGTCTCGGTAACGAGGGTGACTAGCCATATAGTTGTCCCATCCCGGGGTTTGGTAGCACCATCAGATAGCATGGGCAGAATCGCAACACATAAGTACTGCGACTAAGCAATGTGTTTCTCTCATTCATAACCTCCTTATTGTTTGCTGAAGGCAGTTTGTGGTACAGGATTATTCTCTGCATTAAACACTGGCACGAATTCCATCCAAGTATCCAATTGCTGTTTTCTTCCTTTCTTCTGGATGTCGCTGAATGATACAATTACAGAAAAGGCCCATTGTGTCTCTGTCTGTTTGTGGATGCAGCCTGGCCAATAAGTCTCACTGACCTGGTCTTTTCCCATAGCCCAAGAATTCTTTCTTTTCTCTCTGTGAAGTATTTGTACAATTCCCAAGTTCAAAATAGAACAGGCATTGAGAATTCCACCCCCACCATTCCCCTGCATCGATCCATCCTTGTGACTCATTTAAAAATAAACTTCACCTACGATAGAACACCCCACCGAAAGGGCAGAATCCCAATACATTGCCAGTGAATTTATCAATTAGGACAGCAATTTCCATTCTGTTGTGGGATGGGGGGCGGAATACTTGAATTGCTTTTGCCTCTTCTATTTTGAAAAAGTTCTTGTCATCTCGCATCCACGAGGTATTTACCACAAGGGATTTGCTTCTTGTGGTGAATTAATAAACTATATTAGTTAAACAATTTGCACAGACCCACAACAGCGTCTGTGACAAAGCTTTTGGGAGGGGTAAATTGGCACATAAATGGTTCGGGAGAGACCCAAATGTCAGTCCAAAAACAATGGAAGGAGCTGCAAAGGCTGGACTTCCTTTTCTCACTCCTTTCTGAAGTGAATAACTCATTAACAGAACATTTAGTGACAATCTGTCTTTAAATCTCCATCCCATGCCATCCCTCTCATACCATGCTGATTCTATTCCTTTCACACCATCCCCATCCCTTCTCCCATTCCATATCTCCCACGCCTTCCGTCCACTCCCTCACCAATAACACCCCTGCTACTGAATCCTTACCTGAAATGAAGAACCATCTAGTATTAATAGACAGTTCCAAACAAAAGGGGGAATCAATGAAGGGTCGACTGATTCCTCAATAGTCCCTTCAGTAAGAAAACCTAATCAACTGAATGGCAGAAAGCGAAGCACATATCTGATAAGACTCTTTATCATCAGGGTGAAACGTATGAACTTGTCTCATCCCAATCCTTATGAATCTACATAACCTCTAGAGTTGATATTCCAAAGTTCATATCCCAGGTACCTACAAATGTCTACCCATTAGCCCCATTACCTTGTTTTGTATTCCTTTGCATTTTAATATTATGCAGTAGTGACGTACAGCTAATCACTTAAATGTCGTGTTAAATTGTCCAACAGTACAATGTAATTAGCAGTACCAGAAACAGAAGATATTAACAACACTTAATATATTTGATGCCTTGCTTATAAAAGTATTTACTAAGATGTTCATATATCTTTGAAAGATGAAGAAGCATCATGAGATTATAACTCATATACTTGCCTTATCCAGGACTTTTTTAGCACTATACCATATAGCATGTTCTCGGAACTTTTCTGGCGATTTTTATTTTGTCTTAAAGGTGCTGAAGTTCTATTAAATTATGCAAATCTTTTTTTTTAAATAAAGACTAAACATTAAACCTTTGGACTGTTGAAATCTTCTTTTATTCTGCTTTAGAGAGGTAATGTAATCATTGATATCACACAGCATCATTATAAAGCAGGTTCTGCTTCAGAAGTGCCTCGCACAACTTCCTGATTAAGAATACCACCTTGTTTTATCCACCTAAGAAAAAAAACATATCACAGCATCCAAACCATTTCTGAGCTGATCTTAAGGTTTTGATTTGATTTATTTATTGTAGTCTCGTGTACCGAAGTACACTGAAAAGCTCTGTTTGCGAGCAGTACAGGCAGATCATAGTAAGCAATAGCCTACAGATCATAGGGTGCTTGTACAGAGTGAGACATACAGGTTACACCACACAGGACGTGTATGAAGCAAGATCGACATTAACAAGATCAACATTATTTGAAGTTAGACAGTCCATTCAGCAGTCTAGCAATGGCAGGAAAGAAGTTGTCCTTGAACCTGTTGGTGCGTGTTCAAGCTTCTGTATCTTCTGCCTGACAGGACAGGTTGTAGGAGAGCATTAACTGGGGTGGGAGGGGTCTTTGATAATGTTGGCCACCTTTCCGTGGCAATGGAAGTGTAAATGGAGTCCATGGATGGGAGGTTGGCTTCCATGGTGATCTAGGCTGTGCACACAACTTTCTGTAGTTTCTTGCAGTCCTGGACAGAGCAGTTGCTATACCAGGCTGTTATGCACCTGGACAGAATGCTTTCAATAGTGCATCTGTAAACATTAATGAGGGTCCTTTTGGACATGTCGAATTTCCTGAGCTGCCTGAGGAAGAAGAGGCATTGTTGTGCCTTCTTGACTGTCGCATCTATGTGGGAAGTCCAGGACAGGTTGTTGGTTATCGTCTCTCCGAGGAACTTGACGTTCTCAACCTCCGCCCCATTGATGTAGATGGGGGTGCGTCCTCCTCCTTTCTTTCTGAAGTCAATGATTAGTCCTTTTGTTTTGCTGACATTGAGAGAGAGGTTGTTATCATTGCACCATGTCACCAAGCCCTCTATCTCCTTTCTGTATTCTGGCTCATCATTGTTTGGTCTCCATTCTACCACGGTGGTGTTGTCGGCAAACTTGTAGATGGCGTTCATTCGGAATTTGGCTACACAGTCATGGTACAGGGAGTACAGTAGGGGTCTGAGAACACATCCTTGGGGGGCTCCAGTGTTGAGGGTTATCGTGGGGGAGGTGTGGTTGGCATCCAGTATTTCAACTGGAAATCCATTCTGGATGTGAAGACCGAATAAGATCAGTCCCAAATTTTCTTTGTGTCAGTTTGGTCCTGTGTCTTTACTATACTGCTCCGTTTCTTGGCACATTGATTGAACTGTTGATTGTTGTTGGTTGGATCTGGTGCAATCTGCCCGTGACTGGCACATGAAGAGTCGGTGGAGCTATGTTACAACCTGGTTTCTGCCCCCTGTTATTGTGCCAGCCATTTGCTCTCAGATGAGAAACAAAAATAGAAATTGCCGGAAAAGCTCAACAGGTCTGGCAGCATCTGTGGGGAGAAATCAGAGTTAACATTTCAGGTCATAAGAACATAAGAAATAGGAGCAGGAGTAGGCCGTCCGGCCCTTCGAGCCTGCTCCGCCATTCAATAAGATCATGGCTGATCTTTTCGTGGACTCAGATCCGCTTACCCGCGTTCTCACTGTATCCTTTAACTCCTTTATTGTTCAAAAAATAGCTACCTTATCTTTAAAAACGTTTACTGAAGCAGCGTCAACTACTTCATTGGGCAAGGAATTCCATAGATTAACAACCCTCTGGGTGAAGAAGTTCCTTCTCAATTCAGTCCTAAATCTGCTCCCTCTAATCTTGAGGCTATGCCCTCTTGTCCTAGCTTCACCTGCCAGTGGAAACATCCTCTCTACTTCTTTCTTATCTATTCCCTTTGTAATTTTATATGTTTCTATAAGATCCACCCTCAATCTTCTGAATTCCAATGAATATAATCCCAATCTACTCAGTCTCTCCTCATAAACCAACCCCCTCAACTCCGGAATCAACCTAGTGAACCTCCTTTGCACCCCCTCCCGTGCCAGTACATCAAGTGAACCTTCCTCAGAATTGACAGTAGCTAGGAAAATGTTGGTATTTTTATGCAGAAGATAGGGTGGGGGTGGGAAGGAGTAAACAATAGGTAGAGCCCAAAGAAAGAGAAGAACAGTTGGACAGACAAAGGAGTGGATAACGATCAGGCCAGGAGGGTGAATACCTGTTAATGGGGACTGTTAGTGGCTAACAATAGGTTACGTACAATAGCAGGCTAAGTGATAACAAGCACCTGGAGTGTGGGGGTTGGGATAAGGACAAGGAGAGCTCGAGACCAAAAGTTATTGAACTTGATATTGAGTCCCGAAGGCTGTAGAGTTCCCAAGTGGAAAATGAGGTGTTGTTCCTCCAGCTTGTGCTGAGCTTCACTGGAACACTGCAGCAAGCCAGAGACAGAGATGAACACAGCAGGCCAAGCAGCATCATAGGAGCAGAAACTCCTATGATGCTGCTTGGCCTGCTGTGTTCATCCAGCCCTGCACGTTGTTTTCTCGGATTCTCCAGCATCTGCAGTTCCTACTATCCCAGAGACAGAGATGTTGGTCAGGGAACAGGGTGGTGTGTTAAAGTGACAGGTAACCAGAAGCTCAGGGTCTTTTTTGCGAACAGAAAGCAGATATCTGTTCTTAGATGAGGCTGGGGTGGAATTCCCGTTCACATCCTCACCCCAGCCCTATTTCCTTCCACATTAAATGTATGCATTGGTTTGGGGGATGGGCGTGCAGGAGTTTCAACAACATACCCTGTGCATCATGTTCTCCAAAGTCTTCAGGAGAGCTTAAGTCAGAAGAGAGCCGGCAAGGACTTAAGAAAGGCCAAGGGACTTACCAGCAACAGAGTATTGTCCTGGAGGAGATTAATGATCTTTCTGCTGCCATATCTCCTGTGGAAGGTGAAGATCTTTCATTGCCTCTTGTCCTTCAGCACAGTAAAGACACAGATTCACATTAAAGGCATGAAGGGGGGCTAGTCCCTCTTCTGACTGGTGGCAACTCTGTGTCAGACATCTCTAATAGTGTCTTAAAACCCTTCCACCTCATGTTAGAGATTGCAGCCATTTTCTCAGACTTTGAAAACAGCAAAGTATTTAATCTACTTAGTCCTCAGATCCCATTGCAATCTATTGACTTTGGTAACTCAAGATTGTCATTGAGCCCTACTGACCTGATCTTTACAAGCTTTTTTTAAATGCATTCATGGCACATGGAGGTTACTGGCTGGGTCAATATTTATTGCCCATCCCTAGTTGTCCTTAAGAAGGTGGTGGTGAGCTGCCTTTTTGAACTGCTGCAGTCCACCCACAATGCTCTTAAGGAAGTAATTCCAGGATTTTGACCCAGCAACAGTGAAGGAACGGTGATGTATTTCCAAGTCAGGATGGTGAGTGGCTTAGAGGGGATCTTGAAAGTGGTGGCATTCCCATGTATCTGCTGCCCTTGTCCTTCTAGATGGAAGTGGTAGTGGGTTTGGAAGGTGCTGTCTAAGGAGCTTTGGTGAATTTCTGCAGTGCATCTTGTAGATAGTATACTCTGCTGCTACTGAGCAGCAGTGGTGGAGGGAGTGAATATTTGAAGATGTTGTTCCAATCAAGCAATCTGTTTTGTCATGGATCGTGTCAAGTTTCTTGACTATTATTGGAGGTGCACCCATCCAGTTTATTAGTGCCCATTCAGCTATTTTGCAAAAGAATGCCGTTTGACCAAGGGGAATCCAAATTACAGAGTAAATTCAATCACAAGAACACATTTGAAAAAGGACACTCTACTTCAGTACTCAAATATAAATAATACAACACCAGGGCTCAATACATCATCCATTAAACCGCAGCAAGGCCTGAATAGGAGCAAACACATTAGAAAAGTCCCACACAACTGATTTGTGCATCGGTGAGGTGCAACTATGAGACGTTTAATATATTAAACCCTGATCAGATGACAAGCCACCCGTTTTTGACCATTAAAAATGTCGCCAATAGTATTGAAAGAGATCTTTGGGCCTAGCAGTTTCAATCACAGTGGGAGAGAGCTCATCCCCTTTGCTGTAATGTCAAACCAAGTCTGAAAGTTAATAAAAACATACTCGGCCAGGAACAGCTAAGGTCAATGAATGTCAGTCAACATGACCAAAGAAAGGCCTGACACGAATTAGGTTCAATGACCTCTCAGTTCACCCGTGGTTTTGGTGGAGCCGCCTTACAGTTTGAACTTGTTCTTCTTGCAAGTCCCACGGCTACTGAGGCTCTGTTTCTATTGAGAGGGCCTCCCTCCACTTTCATTTCCCTTGAGGCCGTAAACGATCATCTGGCAGCCATGAGGGTGATAAACATAGGTCAGTCCAAAAGAAAACACCTGGCCAGGAAAAAGCAGAAGGACCTGAGGCCTAGGTATCATCCAGAGCCAGGTCATCACCGCCACCTTTGCACCTGGTCTCGGCTGGACAATCTGTTAGACCAGGATTGCTAACCAAGGATTAAAAGATAATAACTATCATCGCACCAGCCAATGACGTCAAATTGAGGATTGTGTAAGAAGGGCAATTAAATCCACAGTCTCTTGAGGCATGAGGGTTTTCATCCAAACTGCTGCCACTCTCTCAGCTGCTTTTCCTGAAAACACTCAGGAGACATGCATTTGTATAGCGCCTGCCATGTCATTAGGGGGTCCCAAATCATTCTACATTGACACAAATCATCCTAGGATCACAGCATCGCTCTTGGAGGTGCAGTACGCAGTTTGTACACCAAAGATCCATACAAATGTACAAACAGACAAATTAGGAACAGGAGTAGTTTATTCGGCCCCTCCGACCTATTCCGTCATTCAGTAAGATCTCATTACTGATTTCACTGGGGCCTCAGTTCCTCATGTTTGCCTACCCCCAATGACCATTGACTGCCTTGAAAAA